GATGATCTTTCTATGATGTCAGTTGGGTATTCAAGTTCCCTACTATGGCTATCACTGTCCCTCTCTCTGTTTATGTCGGTCAGTGCCTGCTTTATATATGTAGGTGCTCTTATGTTGGATGCATAGAAGGTTGGGATAGTCATGTCTTCTTTTTGGTTTGATCCCTTATCACTGGTTCAATCATTGGTTTAAATGCCCTTCTTTGTCTCTTCTTATAGCCCTTGTTTGTTTTTTTTAAATTACATTTCATTGATTATGCCATTATAGTTTTTCCAGCTTTTCCCTCTTTGCCTTCTTCCACCCAGCACCACCCCTACTCCCTCAGGCAATCCCCACACCATTGTTCATGTCCACGGGTCATGTGTATGTTCTTCAGCTGCTCTATTTCTGTACTGTACTTTACATCCCTGTAGCTATTCTGTAACTTCCTATTTGTCCTTCTTAACCCCTTACCTTTTCACCTATTCCCATTTGGCAACCATCCCATTCGGCAACCATCAAAACGCTCTCCACATCTATGATTCTGTCTGTTTTTCTTGTTTAGTTTGTTTTTTAGATTCAATTGTTGAAAGATGTGTATTTTTGCCATTTATTGTTCATAGTTGTGAACTTTCTCTTCTTCTTAAATAAGTCCCTTTACCCTTTATATAATAATGATTTGGTGATAATGAACTCACTTAGTTTCTTCTCATCTGGGAAGTGCTTTATCTGCCCTTCAATTCTAAATGATGTCTTTGCTGGGTAGAGCAACCTTGCCTGTATGTCCCTGCTTTTCATGACTTGAATACTTCTTGCCAGCCCCTTCTAGTCTGCAAAGTTTCTTTTGAGAAATCAGCTACAGCCTTATGGGGACTCCCCTGTAGGTAACTCTCTTCTCCTCTTTTACTGCTTTTGAGAATCTCTCTTTATCTTTAAGCTTTGGCATTTTAATTATGGTATGACTTGAAGTGGTTGCATCCATCTTGTTTGGGACTCGGTACATCCTGGATTTGGATGGCTATTTCCTTCACCAAACTATGGAAGTTTTCTTTCATTCTTTTTTCAAATAGATTTCCAATTTCTTGCCCTTTCTGTTCTCCCGTTACCCCTAGGATTTGAATATTGGAATGCTTGTAGTTGTCCCAGAGGCTACTTATACTAGCCTTGTATTTTTGGATCCTTTTTTCAACTAGTTGTTATGATTGGTTGTTTCTTGCTTCCTTATGTTGCAAAGCGTTGATTTGATTCTTGGCTTTCTTCACTCTACTGTTGTGTTTCTGTAAATTGTTCATTATTTCAATTAGCATATCCTTCACTTTGGACTGGCTCTTCTTTATGCCATTGAGGTCCTCACTAAGATCCTTGAGCATCCTTATAACCAGTGTTATGAACTTTGCATCTGATAGATTGCTTATGTCAATTTCATTTAGCTCTTTTCTGGAGTTTTACCTGTTCTTTCATTTGGGCCACGTTCTTTGTCCCTTCATTTTGGTAGCCTTCTTAGGTTTATTTGTATATATTGGGAAGGTAGAGAGCTATTGCTCTCTGTCACCTAACCGTTGCATAATACAGTAGTTGTCCTGTAGGGTCCAGTGGCACATGCTCCCTTATCACCCAAACTGGGTATTTGTGGTGCATCCTTTGTGTGGGCCGAGTACAACCTCTTCTTGTAGTTGAGCCTTGGTTTCTGTTGGCAGATCAATGGGAGGGATTTACCGAGGCCAGTCAGTTGGAAGGATTGGCTATGACCACTGACCACCAGCCCCCACCCTCTGAATGTTCAGCTGTGGAGGGGCAGGGTGGTGATGCTCCAACATGGTCTGCAGCTTTCCACTGGGTGGGCAGACCCTGAGGTTTCCAAGGCGGTGCAGGCCAAGGTCAGCCCCCACCAGCGTTTTGCCCTGGGCCACTGTGCCTGAGCTATAAAGCAGTCTGAGATGGCTGCTACTTGTGCTGTGCTTGGAGGTCCCAGGAGACCCCAAGCTGTGAATCTAGTCTGGGTGCTCCCAGTGCTGCGTGTGAGGCCTCTTAGCAAGAGGGAGGAGGCTACAACCAACCAACCTATGAAAAAGCCACTGTTGACACTGCTAGCAGTATGCTAGGTGGGGCGGCGCCTTGGGATCTCCAGGGTGAGACAGACAGTGTTAGTCAGGTTGATGGCACTTAAGATATGGCACCAGCCTGCAGACTCTGTGGCTCTGCCCGCCTTAGTGTCTGGGATAAAGATGTCCTCCAGCTCTTGCCTTGATGCTGGACTGCACAATTCCTCTGTTTGTGCCACTGGTGCCTTTCAGGCTGCTACCTTGTTCCTGGAGCTCAGAGGAAGTGAGTCCAAGTATCTGCGTGGTTTCTTTAAGAGGAACTGCTTCGAACCCCAGCAGTTTCTTCCTGGGACTCAATCCCTGTTGTTTTTTTGTAGCCAGAAGCTATGGGGACTTATCTTCTGGCACTGGAACCGTGGGCTGGGGGGCCTGGTGTGGGGCTGGGACTCCTTGCTCCTGAGAGAGCCCTCCCAAATTTTTATCCACCACACATGGATGTGGGATGAGCCTGTTCTGCATCTCTCCCCCTCCTATCAGTCTAGATGGATGCAATTTCTTTAACTCCATAGTTGTCAGACTTCCATTGCACTTGATTTCTGATGGTTCTGAGTGATGGTGGTTCTGTAATTTTGGTGTGGGTGTGCGAGGATGCGAGCCGTGTTTACCTAGGCCACCATCTTGACCTAAAGTCTACAGCCTTTGTTTTAAAGTCTAATTTGTCTGATTTAATATTGCTACCCCAGCTTTTTCTTATTCTCACTTGTATGAAATGTACTTTTCCATCCCTTTTCTTTCAGTCTGTGTCTTTCATCTGAAGTAGACAGCATATGTACAGATCTTGTTTTCTTACCTGTTCAGCCACCCAATATATTTTGATTAGAACATTTACTTTATTTACATTTAAAGTAATTATTGGTAGGTGCATAGTTATTACTATTTTATTGTTTTCTGGTTGGTATTGTAGTTCTTTTCTGTTCCATATTTTCTTGCTTTGTTATATGTTGCTTATTTCTATAGTGTTGTTTTTGGATTCCTTTCTCTTTATTTGTTGTGTACCTCCTTGTAGATTTTTTTTTTTTTTGTCGTGGTTACCATGTGCTTTTTTATATATACCAACTTGTGTTCACAGCAGTCTGTCTTAAGTTGATGGTCAATTAAGTACGAACACATTGAAAAATCACTGCTGTTTTTACTCACCCCCTTCATGTTTATGCTTTTGTCATTATTTTTCACTTTGTGTGTATCTTTTAATTATTCTTGCAATTTGATCTCCCTTTTGCGTTTTAACCTTTGTACTAGCTTTATAGTTTGTTGATCCACTGCTTTTTACCTAGTGTTTGTCTTTGACAGTGAAAATTTTTTTCTTATATTTTCCTATTTATATTTTGGATTTTCTCCTTTTCTACTTAAAGCAGCCCCTTTAACATTTCTTGTAATACTGACCTAGTGCTGATGAATGCCTTTAACGTTTTCTCATCAGGGAGGCTCTTGATCTCCTTCAATTCTAAAAGATAGTCTTGCTGGGTTGCTTTTCATCCCTTTGAATATTTTGTAACACTCTGTTTTGGCCTGCAAAGTATCTGCTGAGAAATCAGCTGACAGTGGTATGGGAGCTCCCTTGTATGCAAATAGGTGCTGTTCTCTTACTACTGTGAAGATTCTCTGTTAGTCTGTAACCTTTTTCATTTTAATTAGGATGCATTTTGGTTTTGGCCTCTTTGGATTCTTCTTGTTTGGCACTTTCTGTGCTTCCTGGACTTGTATGTCTATTTCCTTTGCCAGGTTAAGAAAGTTTTAAGCCATCATTTCTTCAAGATAGGTTTTCAATCCCTCTCTTCTCTCTCTGTTCCCTCTGGTACCCCTAAGATGAGAAGGTTGGTATGCTTAATGTTGTCCCCGAGGTTCCTTAAACTATGCTAATTTTCAAGAAGGCTTTATTTATTTTTAGAGAGAGGAAAAGGGAGGGAGAACAAAAGGGAGAGAGAGAAACATCCATCAGTTGGCATGTTGTACGCACCCCAACCAGATACTGAACCCACAACCCAGGCATGTGCCAGGAACAGGAATCAAATCGGCAACCTTTCGCCTTGCGTGAGGACGCCCAACCAACTGAGCAGCAGTGGTGAGGGCTCATTTTGGGGGCGTGGGGACCGGGGGACTCCTTTTTCCTTTGTTGTTCCAATTGAATGTTTTCTGCTTCTTTTTCTTCCAGATTGCAGATGTGATGCTCTGCGTCATCTAATCTGCTGATGGTTCCCTCTAATTTGTTTTCCATTTCAGTTATCATGTTCTTTATTTCTGACTGGTTCTTTTTTATGGTTTCTGTCTTTTTGATGAAGTTCTCAGTGAGCTCACCTACTTTTCCCCTAAGATGATTGAGCATCCTTATAAGCAGTGCTTTAAACTGTGTACCTGGTAGATTGCTCATCTCCATTTTGTTTACTTCTTTTTCTGAAGTTTTTAGTTTTTTCATTTGGGACATGTTTCTGTGTTTCCTCATTTTGGCTGTTGTTTTCTATATATTAGGTAGATCTGCTACTTCTCCCACTCTTGGCAGTGTGGCCTTATGTAGCAGGTATCTTCCCGAAGCCTAGTGGTGAAGTGTCCTCGGTCATCTGAGCCAAATGCTCAGTGGGTGCCCCTGTGTGGGACATGTGTGCTCCTCTGTTGTAGTTGAGCCTTGATTGCTGTTGGCAGGTCAATGAACAGCATTGACTGTCTGGCTGCAAGGGCTCTCTGTGACTACAGCAGATGAGCCGTTGTGTGGGTTCTGGCCTTCCAGAGTGGGAGTATGTTAGTGGCGCTCTGGTGCCAGTTAGATCTGCCTCAGTTGGGTCATTTACGGTGTTGGTTGGGTGGTGCTCTGGTGTTGTCTGAAACACCAGAAAAAAAAAATGAAGGAATGTTTTCCAGTTCTTGACTAAGGGACATGAAACTTTGTTCAAGGATACATTATTAACTCATTTCATTCTTCAATAGGAAAATAAAAAATACTTCAAGCGTAGTGAACTTGCAAAAAAAGAAGAGGAAGCATATTTTGAAAGATGTGGCTACAAGGTATGAATTACTGCTTTTATGTTAAATGACCTATTTCTGAGTTCAAATTTGTACAGCTGTTGTTAAAATGACAAAATTATTGATCTCTGTTCAATTTATCAATGTTATACATTAGCCTATAAATGAGAAGCCATCTGGAGAGGTATGAGTTCTGGTTTTCTTTTTTTTTTTTTTTTTAATCTTGAATTCAGGAAAACACATGCATGACTTTTGGCTTGGAATGGTTTGGCCTTCTGTGGACAGCATGAGGTGGCTTGAGATCAAAGCTTGATTCCCCCCACCCCTTAAATTAAGTCCTGGATCTTACGCTCCCTCATTTTCATCTCCCCACCACTCCTCTCCCCACCTCTCCCAATAAAAGTCTATTTTTAAAGGGCTGAAAACATTTTATTCCTTCAACAACAGTGGTATTAGCAGTGGTATTTTCCCTGCTTCCTTCTGAATATTTAAACCATTGCTTTTATGTTTGCATTGTTAACAATTCTTTTTGGCCCTAAGTACCTCTACCAGAAGTATAGTGCCATAGCACATTTATGTGCTTTTTTGTAATAAGAAACTGCATTTCAAATACTGACCAGTCTCTTGGATAGAAAGTGTAATATTGAAATATTTGTTAGAAACAAATGAGTTTTCTGGAAGACTATATTTTAGAAGCATGACTGAAATTATCTTTGAGATTCTCGTTGAATAACGTATTGGGTTTTTTATTGGGAGGGGTTAATGGTTATGAGGTGAAGTTATGTTTAAATTATTTTAAAAAGACCGTATCTATTTTAGTAATTTATTTAATCAAATTTCAGAGATTCTCTGAAATACATTTGCCAAATCATAAATTTGAAATAAACTTTTTGCTTGTGAAACATCAATTTAAAACATTCCTCCTGTGCATGTCATGTTGAAAGTTCTGGCAATAAATTTATCTGGCATAGCATTTCTGGAGGGAAGCATGAGCAATGCAAATGGTATGTATATGCATTTGGTTTTATTTTGTAGTGTTGGGAAAGGGCAAGTTTTACAAATGTCATATTTCTGATAGGTTTCTAAGATATGAAAGTTTATATTGATATTTTGCTATTTTCCATGAATATATTGATCTCATTTACTTCTAATTTAGGAAATTAGAATATGTTTTGTGTAAGTAACCATCGAATAGATACTCAGAAAGAAGAACTCTCATGCTTTGCTCACCCAGTATTGTCTAACTTCCAACTCAATTTGGAATAAGGATTATCCTGGGTTTAGTCTGCTGACTTGTTGCTTTCCCAAATCTTTAAATTTGAACCTTTCAACTTTTTCATAAGGTAGGAAAATAATTTTTTAAAATGGTGGCATTTTTGCTTTGCGTAGGTTGCTTCAGTGATATGGCAGTACTTTTTCTTGCTTATATATAAGAAAGCACTAGAACAAAAAAAGTACTGTAAAGGTATTGCTTATCCCGTTGAATTCAGCTGTCATTCCATAATTAAGAATACTTTTCAACCTAAGATTTTTGGAGAAATAACCTGCTTTTATGCTTAAAAAGAAAGCACGGGTTATTTTTAAAACATTTTTAATATTTCTTTCTTGGTAGTAATGTAAATATAGCCTGTATTACTTTTTATTTTTTTTATAGAAACTAGTTCCCATTTTTGAGGCTTGCTGCTGATTTGGTTTGTAAAAATATGATAGTATTTTTAATCTTAATTTTCTTTTATACTATTATTACTGATAAATCTACTAACCATAAAATATAGAATCATAAGTTATGTAATTTTAACCATGTAGCCTTTCTTGGTTGAATGTGAGTTTTTCCTTAATGTTGATCTTTATATTTTTTTGATCTTACTTCTTTTGGCATCTTAGATTTGTCTTTTGGTTAGTTGGGAAACTATAGTTCAATATCGTTTTACAGACCACACAGTGGGGCTTATAAATTGCTGAACACGAGTTTCCCAAACTGTGACTGGGGCAGCAGACTCAAGGAAATATATAAAGAGATTTTTTTTTTCTCTGCAGGTTCATATCAAGAAGTATGTCCAGTCTTTTCTTTGTGTGGTATGAGTAGAGAGGTGCTGTTTTTTCATTATTTTATCACAGGGATCATAGCTCCATTTGTGGGCAAGTTCTGTATAGCATTGGAAATTTTTCTACATGTCCAACAGTGATTTCTGTGCACTTGGAATAACACCTTTCAAAAATTAGAGTAGGGAAAAGCTGGATCTTGAGACTTCACAGGTTTCTCTAGGAAAGCAGTTCTATTCTTTGACTTCCATTTTGAACCCAGAGCAAGGATCAGACAACCCTGTAAGATGATTTTCTGAAAGAGGAGAAGCAGGTTGATTGTTTTTTGAGAAAAGAGTAAAATTCTTTAGAGTTCAGGGAGAAAGTGAGTCTAAATTTCAGCTCTTGTAATGTTTTGATTTTGGAGACTTATACTTATGTTACTCTTCTGTAGCAACAATGCTGTCTCCAATGTGCATGCTTTCTATCTATGCCATCCCTGAATTGTACAAGTTTGGTAAGCTTTTGGAAACTGCACATTTATTGTGAGCTCTTTCCTTGAAGGAATGCTTAGAAGACCTTCAATATTTAAAACATATTTAACTTCCATGAAACAGCTAAGCTAATAGAATGATAAATATTAACTATATTTTAAAAGTTGAATTTCATTTCGTTTCTTTTATTTTCTTTTTGCTTTTTGCTTTTATAGATACAGACAAAAGAGGAGGACCAGAAACCATTAACTTCATCAAATCCAGTATTAGAACTTGAACTGGCAGAGGAAAAGTTACCCATGACTCTTTCTAGGCAAGAGGTAAGTTTATATAGAATGTGTTGTGGAAAAAAGAAAACTCTACAAAGCATTCGCATTTATCTCTGGCTCTATCCAGTAGTTTTATGTGATTATTTCCCGTAGAAGATTACCTAACTGAACTCAATTATAGTGCAGCTAGCCAGTTTTCATCATGAAGTTCTAAATTAGCTCTGCTTTTCTTGATACTGTTATGTTAAACTTTTAAAAGTATCCATCATTCTAAACTTCAAAAATTAAGTACATTAAATGTATAATTCTAAATAATTATTTGTCTAAATCATTGTAAATAATGTACTACTTCGTAACTTATTTTCCCTTAATACAACTTTCTAGGGCAAAATACAGAGACACTTTAAAAACCAGTTCTTTATTAATGATTATTTAGATTGCATAGCATTTCCCTATGATAAACTATACTAAGAGGAGTATCCTTCTATAGACGTGATTCCATGTATAATAATGTATGATTATTTTCTTTGGAAAATTTTCTAGAGGTGTGATTTCTGGAGGGTATTTACAAAAGATTAAAGTCTCTGGACATTTCTAAGACTTTTAATATGTATTACTGGGGGCTGTATATCAGTTACATCAGTTTATATTCCCATGTGTAGTGTTTGCCCATGTCCTCATCAATATCAACTATTGTTTTCTTTTTAAAAAAAATTTGTTTTTGAAGATTTTTATGTGAGCCCTGGTTGGGAACTCAGTTGGTCAGAGCATTGTCCTATACACCAGAAAGGTTTGCAGGTGCAATTCCTGGTCAGGGTTAGATCCCTGGTTGGGGTGTGTACGGGAGGCTACTGATTGATGTCTGTCTCTGTCTCTCCATCAAATCAATAAAAACCAATCAATAAATAAAAATAAAATCAACAGACTTATCCTCAGATGAAGATATTAATGTGATACAAAGAATTCAAACTACTCAGAAAGTACAAAACAAAAATGAGCTTTAGACAAAAGGAAACTCTCAGAAGAAAGGATGGCTAACTCTTAGAGACTTTTAAAAGCATCCATTGACAGCAGCTCTAGTTTTGAAAGAGAATTGAGTATTCTCTGTGCTTTCGTAAAGTAGAGCTAAGATGATATAGTAGAAGGTTAAGGGGGGGGGGTATATTTTAATTTAGAGAAGCAAAACGTGTACAAAAATGGAGAAGGGTGGCTCTTTCATGAAGGGATGTAATTCCTGTAATTTATCAGGGAGGGACCTGACAAAGATGTTTTTGATGTCATTTCTGCATTGATTAGAGAAAGCAGTAGATGACCTCTTAAGTTTCTTTTTAATTCCAGCTTCAGTTAATCCACAGGGAGCCCTGCTAATGGATTCTTAATGTGTTTCCAGCTAAAGCTCTTGGTACTTTAAAAAAAAAAAATTTGGATCAACCTTTAATTATAATTTTTGTTTCTCCTTTCCATGAAATATAGCATGTATGTAGTATATAAAATACATATGTTCAATATAATGGATAATTTTAAAACAAACACCCACATAACCACCATCCAAGTCAAGCAATAGAATATTATTAGCACCTCAAAAGCCTTGCATGTGCCGCATCTTGATTGCACTCACTTTCTCTTGGGAGGATGAAGGGTTTAGTTTAAATGTAGTATTGCAACTGACCTTGGCACTATGGTCATTGAGTTACCAGCTGGCTCCAAACTTTATTTTCCTTCTCTGTGTAAGTATTACCATTCGCTCCCATCTTAGTATTTTTCTTATGTATTCTATTACATAGACTGGTACTTCCCTGAAACATTCAAAGGACCTAAACTGAGGTGGTACCCCATCCCGCAGAGTCCCCCTAGCCACTGCAGATGAAGAAATAATTCATTCCAGACACTCTTGATCTGCCAGGAAAAAGTGGGTGGCAGTTCCTTGTAGTGGAGAATGCCCGGAACCCTTCTCTGAAATGGCTTTTATTGAGACCAATATGCATAGGGGTATACAGCATACGTGATGCAAAAGCTTATCAATCTACTTTAGAGGGCTATAGATAACAGTAAAAGGAACACATAGATCAGCCTTGGGTTAGGGTCTGTCAGACATGCAAATGCCAAAATGGTCATCAAGCCAAGGTTCAGGGGCTTGGAAATCTTTTCCCCTGCTTTGAAGTCAGGCACCTGGTTTTTCCTTATCAGGGCAGTACTAAGCAGAGCAAGCTTCAGCAAATATAATGTATTTTTTAGGCTAGATCTCCCCCTGGAATCCTTGGTGCCAGTATCGGGTCATGTCTGCCTCAGAGCATCCCAGGCTTTCCAGTCGAGCCTTACAGGCAGGGCCCAGCTCACACGGGGCTACAATTCCCGATACCACACAAAGTGGTCCCCAACACTAAACCATTAGGGCCATTTAAGGTATGACAATGAATTAGTGTGTTTGTTCTTGGAAAATTAAAGGAAAAACAAGCACAACTATTTCATTGACATTTCAAAATAAATGTTTGGTCACCTAAAATAGGAATTACTAATAACATGAGGAATTACTACTGAGTTTTTATTTATTTATTTTTTAATAGGTTATCAGAAGATTAAGAGAAAGAGGAGAACCAATTAGACTATTTGGAGAAACTGATTATGATGCTTTTCAACGTTTAAGAAAAATAGAGATCCTCACACCAGAAGTTAACAAGGTAAGAAGTAAGAACAAAGCTAGAAGAGTATTCTGTGGCACATAAAGTAGCATAGTATGAAGTCTGATGGAGTTTGATCAATTGCATCATTGTAATGAAAAATGGAAAAAGTTCCCAGATTATTATTGCTGGTGAATGTAATTTTTTTAAAAAAAATTTAAAGCCCTTATCTTAAGTATATGGTTCAGTGCATTTTGACAACTCTGTGTAAGTTCGTAACCACTATCCTCATGAAGATATAGAACATTTTCATCATCCAAGAAAGTTCCCCAGTGCCCCTTCTTGTCCAGTCCCATATTCCTCCTCTTCCACTCACAGGGAAACAACCTTTTTAAATTCTGTCACCATAGATTACTTTTACTTGTTATAGTTTTTTCTTACAGGTGAAGTCATAGTGTCTGGCTTGTTTTGATCATCATAATATTTTTGAGATTATTCCATGTTATCGCAGATATCAACCAATGGTATTGAGTCATCTGAATATACCGCACTATGTTTTCAACTTCTGGCCATTATGAATAAAACTGTCATGAACATTATTATACAAAATTTCTTTTGAATTTACGTTATTTCTCGGGTAAATACCTGGAAGTGGACTTGTTGAATAGTAAGAGTGAATATATGCTTAACTATTTAAGAAATGCCAAATATTTTCAAATGGCATCAGCATTTGTTATTATTAGTCTTTTAAATTTTAACGATTTTTTTTGTATGCATAATTGTATGTCATTGTGGTTCTGTTTGCATTTTCCACATAACGAAAGATCATGAGCATTTTTTTGTGGCCTTACTGACTATATTTTTTCTGTGTAGTGTATGTTAAAGTTTCTTCATGTTTTAATTGGGTTGTTTATTTTTGAATTGTAGGAGTTCTTCATATATTTTGAGTATAAGTCCTTTGTAAGATACATACAAATATATTTTGTGACTATTTTCTGCTAGTCTGTGCCTTATTGATTCTCTCATTGGTGTTTTTTGCTTTGTTTTTTGCGGGAGGGGGGTTAAATTTTGATGAAGTCTGCTTCATCAGGATTTGGTTTCATGGTTATTGCTTTTGGTGTTTTGCCCAAGAAATCTTTCCAAATCCCAAGGTCTTGAGATATTCTTGTGTATTTTCTTCTAAAAGCTAGTAAGTTTTAGCTTTTACATTTAGGACTCTGGTATTGTTTTATGGCTCAGCTTATGGTTTGTTCTGGTGACTGTTCCTCAGGCTCTTGAAAAGAGTATGCTTTATGCTTTGGATTAATGTCATTTATAGTAGTGTTGTTCAGATATCTTGGGGCCTTATTAACTTAACCACTTGTTCTAGCAGTTACTTAGACACAGGTGTGAGTAGTATATATATCACTGTATACCAAACCACCCAAAACTAAGTACCCTAAAACAGTTTATTATAAAATCTTTCCAGTCATCTATGACTGTAACAAACCATTCTGAAACCTTGGAACTTAAGATAATTTATTATTATCTCTCTCAGTTCTTTGGTTTGATTTTGCTAAGCTGGGCAGTGTTTGTCTTAGAATCTTGCAGGTGATGGCAGTCAGGTGAATGGCTAAGGTCACCTGAAGGCTCCACTGGACCAGTCTTCTAACTTATAATACCTTGAAGATTCATCCATGTTGTAGGATGTGTCAGAATTTCCTTTTTTTTTTTTTTTAAGGCTGAAATATATTCCATTGTATGTACAAAACCCAATTCGATTATCCATTCATCCTCGATGGATGTCTTGAGTTGTTTCTACCATTTGTCTATTGTGAATAAAGTTGATGAACACAGTTGTACAAATACCTGTTTTAGTCCCTCCTTTCACTCATTTTTTGTATATACCCAGAAGTGGAATTACTGAGTCATTTGATAATTCTCTTTAACTTTTTCCCCCAAAGCATAAATGAATTTTGAAAGTTTTTCTTTATTTATATAATTAATGTTAAGAACAATTTGTTTTTCTTTCTTTTTAGTCTTTTCTAATACTTCCTTCACCTGAATTCTTGGAAAGAGTTACGGGTTTTTATACTGCTTCATTTCACCAATATTTATTTCTCTTCTATATCTTAAGTCACCTTCCTTATTAAAAGCTAGACTAAAATATGGCTGTGAACTACTACATTTTTATCTTTTTTACTACTCATGTTTTATTACTTCAAAAATCTTTTTTTTCCTTCACTTTCCCTTCTCTATTTTGTACCTACCATTTATGCTTCTTATTCCCTGTACCTTTTCCCCATTCTCCCCTCACCTCCTCCCCACTGATAACTCTCCATGTGATCTCCATTTCTGTGATTCTGTTCCTGTTCCAATTGTTTCCTTAATTTTTGTTTTTAGGTTCAGTTGTTGATAGTTGTGAGTTTGTTGTCATTTTACTGTTCATAGTTTTGATCTTTTTCTTAGATAAGTTCCTTTAACATTTCATATGATAAGGGCTTGGTGATGATAAACTCCTTTAACTTCACCATTTTGGGGAAGTACTTCATCTGCCCTTCCATCCTAAATGATAGCTTTGCTGGATAGAGTAATCTTGGATGTAGGTCCTTACCTTTCATGACTTTGAATACTTTTTTCCAGCCCCTTCTTGCCTCTAAGGTTTCTTTTGAGAAATCAGCTGATAGTCTTATGGGAACCCTTTTGTAGGTAACAGTCTCCTTTTCTCTTCCTGCTTTTAAGATTCTTTCCTTATCTTTAATCTTGGGTAATGTGACTATGATATGCCTTAGTATGTGCTTCCTTGGGTCCAACTTCTTTGGGACTCTCTGACCTTCCTGGATCTCTTGGAAGTCAATTTCCTTGGCCAGATTGGGAAAGTTCTCCTTCATTATTTTTTCAAATAAGCTTTCAATTTCTTGCTCTTCTCCTTCTGGCATGCCTATGATTGAGATGTTGGAATGTTTAAAGTTGTCCCAGAGGTTCCTAAACCTCCCCTCACTTTTCTGAATTCTTGTTTCTTCATTCTGTTCTTGTTTAATGTTTTATTTCTTCCTTCTCCAAATGGTTGATTTGAGTCTTGGTTTCCTTCCCTATACTGTTGGTTCCCTGTATACATTTCTTTATTTCACTTTGCATAGCCCTCACTTTTTCCCCTATTTTGTGACCATCCTCAACCATTTCTGTGAGCATCCTGATGACTGGTGTTTTGAACTGTGCATCTGATAGGTTGGCTCTCTCTCCTGCTTAGTTCTATTTTTGAAGCTTTGATCTGTTCTTTCATTTGGGCCCTATTTTTTTTTTTTTTTTTTTTTTTTTTTGGTTTCTGCCCACCTGTTAGGTTGGAAGGGACAGGGCTTAGGTATTCACCAGGGCAGGGCAACCCATATCACTGTGTTGTGGTGCTGTATGTGCGGGATGGGTCAGACAGGGAACAGTGCTGTTTGCTCAGCTCTCGGCTGGCTTTCAGTCACTTCCCCCTCTACTCACAAGCAAGTTGGGCCCTTCTCGTGCTGATTCCCGGGTGGGTGGGTTTGGTGATGATGAACTCCTTTAGTTTTAACTTGTCTGGGAAGTACTTTATCTGTCCTTTGATTCTCAGTGCTAGCTTTGCTGGATACAGTATCTAGGTCGTACGTCCTTGCTTTTCTATGTAATACCAGTGCCAAGTATTGAAAAGAACAATGCTAAGTGTAATATAGGACTATGGAGCAACGATTTACAACCAGTGCATTGCGGCATACTGGTGTGCCACAAGAATTTTTAAATTTAGTTGCAGCACTGACCTCTTTTCCCTTAGAATGTCAAGTAAACCAACAAGAGCCAAACACAATATCCCTTGGTGCGAATGAATCAAAATACCTATTATTTTGTCAGATGGGCAAAAAGTATAATACATTTTTTAGTTTGCACACAATTTTAGTAATTAGTTTACGTGTGCCATTAGATAAAAAAAGGTTGCAAATCACTGGCATGGAGAGAAAGAAGACAAGGGCAACCTGCAAAAGCAGAGTTGGAAGGAAGGACCCAGTTCAGGGTCTGGTGGAAAGAAGTTCAAACCCTGGGCGAGGAGATCTGATGTTGAGCTGGGACCCTCCTGCGGTATCCCTCTCATTTTTATCTACCACACGTAGGCATGGGACTTGGGACCACCCATTCCGCATCTGCATGCCTCTCTGCGTCTTTGTGTCTCCTCCTCCACCTACCTGTCTGGATGAATGTGGCCTCTTGATTGTCCGACTTCCATTCAGATTGATCTTCTGACAATTTTGGGTGATATTTGCCTTGTAGTCTGGTTGTAATTGTTGCTGTGGTTGTGCGAGGAGGAAAGCAATGTACACCTACGCCTCCATCTTGACCAGAAGTTGTGTGTTTCTGATGTCACGTTTTACATCTTTTTATCTTGTGTATCCCTTTACTAATTATTGTAGTTATAATTATTTTTACTCCTTTTGTTTTTACCTACATACCAGCTCTATGTGTGATTAATTCACTACCTTTACTCTATACGTAACTTTTACAGTGAGATATATACTTTCATGTTGTTTTCTTGTTACTCACTTGAGCCCTTTCTTTTGAGAAAAACAAATCCCTTTAACATTTCTTGTAAGGCCATTTTAGTGGTGATGAAGTCCTTTAACTTTTGCTTGTCTGGAAAACTATCTTTCCTTCAGTTCTGAATTATAACTTTGCCAGTTAGAGTATTGTTGGTTGGAAGACTTTTTCTTTTAGTACTTTGAATATATTGTGCCACTCTCTTCTGGCCTTCAGCATTCTTACAGAAAAATCTGTTGACTGTGTATGTGATTTCATTGTACAATACGTAACAAATTGTTTTTCTCTTGCTCCTTGAAAGAATTTCTTCTTGTCTTTAACTTTTGACATTTTCATTATAATGTGTCTTGGTGTGGGTATATTTAACTCGCTGAGGTACTGCCAACAGTTTTCCACAGCAGCTCCACCATTTTACATTTCCAGCAGTACTTAAGGGTCCCATTTCTCCATATCCTAGATACCACTTCTTATATCCTGGGTTTTTGTTTTTTATTCTGTTTTGTTTTTTTGAAAATAGCCATCCTTGTGTGTGAACTGATCTTTCATTGTGGTTTGGATTTCTTGTCTATACTTACTAGTGATGTTGAGCATCTTTTCATTTGCTTATTGGCCATTTGCACATCTCTCTCTATTCCAGTCCTTTGCTCATTTTCAATCATGTTGATGGTTTTTGTTGTTAAGTTGTAGGAGTTTTTATGTACTCTGGATATCAGTCTTTATCACATACGTGATTTTCAATTATGTTTTCCCTTTCCATGGGCCGTCTTTTCACCCTGTTGATAGTGTCTTTGATGCATAAAAGTTTTTAATTTTGATGAAGTTCAACTTACCTATCTTTGTTGTTGTTGCCTGTGCTTGTAGTGGTCTATATAAGAAATCATTCCCAAATCCAGTGTCATGAAGCTTTCCCCCTATGTTTTCTTATAAGAGTTTTATAGTTTAACTCTTACATTTAGGTCTTTGATCCCTTTGGAGTTAATTTTTTTATATGGAGTAAAGTGAAGATCCAGCTTAAGGCTTCCATTTTTATTAGTCACAAACTGAATGTGAATACAATGTGGAATTTGATGGTGCTAAAAATGTATTGATAGCCTGGGTTATAGGGAGATGCTAGTTTTATACAGTGGACATTGCTGAATGTTTTTGGAATTTGGAATAGTCTTCAGGTTGTTCTCCATGGCAAGTACAGATGGCAGGTGGCAAGTGCAGTGTTCACCTACTCTGCCATCTTGACTGGTAGTCTGAGATGAATTATACTCATTATTAGGGAAAAATCAAATGTAATATGAGTCAAATTTTATACTAGATGTAATTTTTCACCTTTTTCAGGGATTGAGAAATGATCTGAAAGCAGCTTTGGATAAGATTGATCAGCAGTACCTCAATGAACTTGTGGGCGGTCAGGAACCTGGAGAGGAAGACACACAGAATGATTTGAAAGTTCATGAAGAAAACACCACAATAGAAGAATTAGAGGTAATTTCTACACCCTCATTACCTCATTCCCTGTTACACCTCTCTTTCGCTGCAGCCAGTGGTTGAGTTCATCAGATTGCCCAATTAGAGCACCCTGTCATCTTTGATCATTACAAAGGCCCTTCTTTCATTTCATGCTTTCATTTATTAACTCCCTTCTTCCTCTTCTTTTTTTTTTTTTTTTTTTGGTATATCAACTCATGTTTAGTGTTCTAAAAAAATCTTAGAAAACAAACACAAAGTAGTACAATGATCACAAAACTTCTAAACACCAGTTCTTAAGCCTCCCTCCCATTTTAAAAATTGATCAATTACAGGAAAGTGGGGACACTGATTTAATACTATGTGATTGATATATTTTTAAAATCATGTCTCTAATTATCTTTATCCTTTGCTGGAGTTGCAAGGCCACTACACAACCAAGAGAAGAATTATCATTTTAGGCTGCAAAGTTACTGGTTTAGGGATTTGAGGATAGAATATGGCACCAAATTGCACCTTCTAGGGTGATCTGATCCAAGCAGGTGCTTTTCAGGATAAGCCTAGAAAGGTAGACGGTATAAAATTGTTTGGAGTGTCTTTGTATCCTGCTGCTTTGCCAGATTCACTTATTAGGTCGAGTAGTTTTTTGGTGGAGTTGGTAGGGTTTCTTATGTACACTATCATGTTGTCTGCAAATAATGATAGTTTTACCCTCTTTCCTAATTTGCATGCCCTTTATTTTTTTTTTCTTGCCTGACCGCTGTGCCTAGGACTTCCAATATTAGGTCGAATAGAAATGGTGAAAGTGGACATCCTTGTCTTGTTCCTGATCTTAGTGGGAAAGCTTTTAGTTTTTGCCCGTTCAGTATGATGTTGGCTGTAGGTTTTTCATATATGGCCTTTATTACGTTGAGGAATGCCCCCTTTATTCCCATTTTGCTGAGTGTTTCTATCACAAATGGGTGCTGTACCTTATCGAATTCTTTTTTGTATCTATTAAGATGATCAGGTTTTTGTCTTTCCTTTTGTTTATGTGATGTATTACATTTATTGATTTGCAAATATTGAACCATCCTTGCATCCCTGGAATGAATCTCACTTGATTATGGTGGATGATCTTTTAATGTATTGCTGGATGCAGTTTGCCAGTATTTTGTTGAGGATTTTAGCGTCTATGTCCATCAGCGATATTGGCCTGTAGATTTCTTTCTTTGTAGCATCTTTATCTGGTTTTGGGTTGAGGTTGATGCTGGCCTCATAAAAAGAGTTTGGGAGTCTTTCCTCTTCTTGGATTTTTTGGAATAGTCTGAGAAGGACAGGGGTTAGCTCTTCCTTAAATGTTTGGTAAAATTCTCTCGTGAAACCGTCCGACCCAGGACTTTTCTGTACCAGGAGTTTCTTGATTACTGCTTCAGTTTCCCCAGCTGTTATCAGTCTGTTCAGGCTTTCTGCTGCTTCTTCACTCAGTGTGGAAGGTTGTATTTTTCTAGAAATTTGTCCATTTCATTGAGGTTTTCAAATTTCTTGGCATATAATTGTTCATAGTAGTTTCTTACAATCCTTTGTATTTCTGTGGTATCAGTTGTTATTTCTCCTCTTTCATTTCTAATACTATTTATTTGGGTTCTCTCCCTTTTTTTCTTGATGAGTCTGCTTAAAGGCTTGTCGATTTTATTTATCTTTTCAAAGAACCAGCTCCTGGGTTGGTTGATCCTTTGAGTTGTTCTTTTCGTCTCTATGTGATTCAGTTCTGCTCTGATATGGATTATTTCCTTCCTTCTACTTGCTCTGGGATTTATTTGTTGTTGTTTTTCCAGTCTTGAAGTTATAGTGTTAGGTCATTTATTTGAAATGTTTATCTTTTTTAGGTAGGCCTGTAATGCTATGAACTTCCCTCTCAGGACTGCCTTTGCTGTGTCCCATAGGTTTTAGACTGTTGTATGTTCATTTTCATTTGTTTCCAGAAACTTCTTGATTTCTTCTCTTAATTCATTATTGACCCATTCATTGTTTAATAGTGTGTTGTTCAGTCTCCATGAGTTTCCAAGTTTCTGCAGTTTCTCCTTGAGGTTGGTCTCCAGTTTCAAGCCCTTGTGGTCTGAGAAAATGTTTGTTATTATTTCAATTTTCCGGAATTTGTTGAAGCTTGTTTTGTGTGGTCTGTCTTTGAAAAAGTTCCATGTGTATTTGAAAAGAATGTGTAGTTTGCTTTTTTGGGAAGAAAGGTTCTCTATATGTCAGTTAAGTCCATTTGAGCTAATGCATTGTTCAGTTCCACAATATCCTTGTTTATGTTTTGTTTGGAAGATCTATTCATTGTTGGCAGTGGGGTGTTAAAATCCCCTACTATCAGTGTGTTGCTGTCTATATTTTTCTTGAAGTCCTCCAAGATTTTCCTTATACATTTGGGTGCTCCTGTGTTGGATGCATGTATGTTTACAATGTTTCTGTCTTTTGATGGATTCTTCCTTTGAGTATTATAAAGTGTCCCTTTGGGTCTCTTTTTATGGCCTTTGTTTTGAAATCTATTTTGTCTGATAAGTTTTGCTACTCCTATTTTTTCCTGTGCATTTGCTTGGAATATTGTTTTCCATCCCTTTACTGTCAGTCTGTGTAGTTCTTTTGTTCTGAGGTGGGTCTCTTGTAGGCAACATATGTGTGGGTCTTGTTTTCTTATCCATTCAGCTATCGTGTGCCTCTTGACTGAGGCATTTAGTCCATTTACATTTAAAGTTATTATTGATAGGTACTTATTCATTTTTTCCCTTTGTACCTGTGTTCTTCTCTTTCTCACTCTTTTTCTTCATCTTCTTAAAGCAGTAAAGCAATCCCTTTAGCGTACCTTGCAGTGCTGGTTTGGTGGAAATGTATTCTTTTAGTCTTCATTTGTCTGGGAAACTCCTTATTTTGCCTTCCATTTTAACTGAGAGCCTTGCTGGGTAGAGCAGTCTTGGTTGTAGGCCTTTGCTTTTCATGAGTTGGAATATTTCTTGCCATTCCCTCCTGGCTTGTAGTGTTTCTGTTGAGAAGTCAGCTGCTAGCTGTATCGTGGTTCCGTTGTATGTTACTACCTGTGTCTCATTTGCTGCCTTTAGGATTCTCTCTTTGTCTTTGATATTTGCCATTTTAATGATGATGTGTTTGGAGTGGGCCTCATTGGGTTCCTCTTGTATGGGACCCTCTGTGCTTCCTGGACTTGTGAGACTTTTTCTCTCCTCCAGTTAGGGAAGTTTTCCATCATTACTTTTTCAAACAGGTTCTCTATCCCTTCCTCCTCTTCTTCTCTTTCTGGTATCCCTGTTATATGGATATTATTACCTTTCAGGTTGTCCTGCATTTCCCTCAATGCCTCTTCATTCTTTTTGAGTCTTTTTTTGATTTCTTGCTCTTTCTGGCTACTTTTTTCTACTTGTCTTCCAGGTCATTGATTTGATCCTCTGCTTCATCTCGCCTGATTTTGATTCCTTCTACTGTATTCTTCAATTCAGAGATTGGATTCTCCATTTCCTCTTGTGTCTTATTGATAGTTTCTGTGTCCTTTTTCATGTTGATACAGTTTGCAGTAAGTTCCTCATAATTTTCCTGTAGTTTCTCGTAATTCTCTTTGAGCTCACTGAGCTTCCTTAGAACCATTGTTTTGACTTCAATATCTGATAGTTTACTTGCCTCTATTTCATTTAGTTCTCTCTGTGGGGATTCCTCCTTTCCCCTCATTTGGGGGCTCTTTCTTTTCCTTCGCATTATTTGTGAAACTCCTTTTTTCTTCTGCTTCTTAACTTGATTTGCCTAGATTTCCTGATTTTGTGGTGTGAACTGTGGTAGCAGACAGGTTTTCCTTTCCTTTCCTTTCCTTTCCTTTTTCCCTTCCTTTTTCCTTTCCTTTTTCCTTTCCTTTCCTTTCCTTCCTCTGATAATGTCAGATGTTGACCTCATCTGACCTTTGGCAGTGTGTTTGAGACTTCCAGGAATCAACTCTCTGTGTCTGTCTCCTGCAATCGCTAATCTTGTCACTCTGTCCTCAGCAGTCAGGCTTATGCACCACAGTGCATGGCAGTGCCTTTTGAGGGCACAGCTCTAGTAGTGTTTTGGGAGCATGTGTTTTTGATTTCCATAAATGATGTTAATACTATGAAATTCCTTCTGCTTTTGATTTTCCTTTTTGTACTTTGAACGATATGTTTAATACCCATCTTTGAAGCCTGTGTACATCTAAACCTTTGCTTTTAACTGCTGAGTAATATTTCATACCCTGTGGCATTCACTGCTGTTTACTTTTGTTCTCCCATAATGATGGGTGACTAGGGTGCTAACAGCTTTGTGATGAATAATCTTGTACATAACCCCTGTGAACTCAGAAGTGGGATTGCTGGGTTTATATATATTTAATTTGTCTAAACACAGTGAAACCTCAGTTCTCAAATGTCTCGGTTCTTGAAAATTTTGGTTCTCAACCAAGTTGTTCATGAAATAGATGTCTTGGTTGTCTAACAAAACTTTGAGTCTCGATTCACTACCTGGTGACCCTTTCCTGATGATACCTGTATGATTGATCAGTCATGCTTCTCTCAGGTGACACAGAAAGGATATTTGGTTTTCAAGCAGATCACTTCTCAAACAGTTTTCTGGAGGGAATTACTTTTGAGAACCGGGTTCAACTGTACCACGCAGCTGTTCTCCAGATGACTGTACCAGTCTGTACCCCACCAGCAGGGTGTGTCTCACATCCCTACTCTTTGTCAACACTGGGCAATCTTGTGCTTTCTAATTTTTGTCAGTGTGTTGAAGGTGAAGTGATATATGTAATCTCAATTAAAGTATAATGTTGTATTATCCAACTATCTAGCTCAAGTTTAAAGCTCTTTAGTTTAATTTGGCTTAGTGTAAATCTCTTAATACTTAATACAATGTAAAGTGTTCATTTTTCTTTTCCTTTCAATTCTTGCCCTTGCAAATGTTGATATCACAGGTGAGGAGGATGTCCTCTTAATTGTAATCCCCCTCCCCCACCCCAACACATATTTATGGACTTTAAATTGTATTGGAGTAATTGGTATGTGCAACCATTCTAGGTTTTTGTTTTTTCTCTAACAGCGTTATGGAGCAATCCACCTACCATACAATTTACCAATTTGAAGTGTACAATTCAAAGGTCTTTAGTATATTCCTGGGGTGGTATAATTATCATTTCACCCCAGTTTTAGAATGACTTTGTTCCCTGGAGGCAAAATTCTCCTGTGCATTAACACTCACTCCCCTTAACCTCTCCTCTGTCTTTTGATTCATAAAAGATAACATACTTTCACAATTTAAATGGCAAGTTGGTATTTTTTTAAAAACTTATCTAGAAATTCCATCATGTTTTTCAATAGAAATTGGACAGTCTGTGTAATAAAGAGCCATGGTCAGTCTGGTGTTGCTAACATACCTATTCAGTTGTTGCTTTTTACTCATGAGCAGAAGCATTATTTTTCCTCAGGCTTTGGGAGAATCTTTAGGAAAAGGTGATGATCATAAAGACATGGACATCATTACCAAATTCCTTAAGGTATGTACTTTTAAGTTTACAAAGGAGAATATTTTCATTGGTTAATAACTGTTTTTGTATTTTTGGGTTGTCAAGGGTTAAAGATAGGGACGGGAAAGCTCAATAAACATTTCTGGTGTGTGCACTCTTTATGGTACTGCTCTGCACTTGCATATAGAAGTTAATCAAAGATGGCATATATTTATGTTTCCTTGGCCCTTTTTGAAAAAGTTGACTTGTTAATGTAAATAAAAGAATAGAATTACAGCATTGGATAGAACAAGAAGTATGGCAAACTCTATATTTTTTTTTGAAGCACTTGAGGAAGGACTGCAATGAGGAGAGAGTTGTAGAAGCTTTTATGGGAGGTGATGACAGTAAGGAAAGGAAGGAGGGAAGACAACATTGGCAGTGAAAATTGCGAACACATCAGTAACCTTTTAGAGATTGTTAATTTTCTCAGTTCTTCAGATAGCTGTTTATTCTTGCTGTGATATGCTCACTCCATCTTCTCAGCATGTGTCTTTAGCGGTTTAGCATTTATTCAAAAATATTTTGTGTTCAGTCCTGCATAGTGAAAAGTCGCTGGTTTTATTCCTGGTCAGGGCACATGCCTGGGTTCCTGGTTTGGGCATGTCTTACAGGCAACCGATTGATGTTTCTCTTTCACATCAATGTTTCCCTCCTCCTCTTTCTACCTTCCCTCTCTCAAATAAACAAACAAACAAATAAAAAAATCTTTTTGAAAAAGATTCTGAATCTATTGAGGAAATGATAGGGAACTACATAGGGCATGAAACTCTATATTAAGAACTGGAATTTTAGAATGAGAGCGTCTCCTAATATAGGATTGCACAAGAAGTTGGGAATGTTCTCCTCAGCCTTTGTGGTTTACGTGCCTGTAGAAGGGTCTTGTTGTATAGGTGAATCCAATGGGCACTGCGGTAGTTTTCCAGGGTTGGTTGGGGGAGAGTATGGGTCGTAGTCTCCTCTATTTCTGTTCTGTTCTCCTCTTTTAGTTAGGTGCTTTCGTGGGGATTTTTAAATTTTTGTCTCTACTGCAAAAGTAGAAAGTCCAAATATACAACATCGTACTTGGGGGGTTTATTAACTAGCACAGTATATATGGTGTTACAGCTGATAATCTAGGTGGGGCAAATTTTATGTGATAGAAATATAATTAAAAGTTTATTTCTATCAAATACTTATTCATGTAATTTGGTAATTCTTTCTAGGGGGAAGTAGATTATCTTTGAACTAGGAATATATATAAAACAGGGAGGTTTGTGAATTGCCAGAGGTGCTACTTTAAAGCATATGTGACAGAATCAGCACATATAGTTCATTAATTATTAGTGGATGATAAAGTAATCCATCAAGAAATTTACTCTAAGGATGGTACTACATGGCTTTATGTGTTAGTGAACTTTTCAAATTGTTCAACCACTGGGTGGCATTGTGGTCTAAATTTACCCATGCTTTCTACAGTTCCTCCTTGGTGTTTGGGCTAAAGAATTGAATGCCAGAGAAGACTATGTGAAGCGCAGTGTGCAGGGCAAACTGAACAGTGCTACACAGAAACAGACTGAGTCCTATCTCAGACCCCTTTTCAGAAAGCTGCGGAAAAGGGTGAGGTATCTCAAAAAATGCTTTTGTTAACTGATTTTTAAAAAATAACATACAGCCATGACCAGTGTGGCTTAGTTGATTGGGCATCATCCTGCAAAACGAAAGTTCGGTTCAATTCCAGATCAGGGCACGTGCCTGACTTACGGGTTTGGTCCCTAGTCAGGTGAGTATGAGAGGCAACCAATCAATATTTCTCCTTTCCCCTCTCCCTAGAAAGAAATTAAATCTTTTCTTTAATCTTTATTGTATATATTTTTTGACATTACCTTTTAATCCCCTTATATCCCCCCTGCCCCCCAGCAGTCGCCACACTGTTGTCCATGTCCACAAGTCCTTTTTCTTTTTTCGCTCAATCCCTCCTCCCCCAACCTCCTCCCTCCCCACCAAAGCTGTCATCCTGCTCTCCATCTGTGAGTCTGTCCGCATTTTCCTTGTTAGTTCAGTTTGTTCATTAGATTCCTCATATGAATGAAATCATACGACATTTGTCTTTCTCTGACTGGCTTATTTCACTTAGCATAATGTTCTGCAGGCCCATCCATACCTCTCAAAGGGTAACATTTTTTTCTTTTCTGTGGACAACTGGTATTCCACTGTGTAAATGTCCCCTAGTTGTTTTATCATCTGTTGATGGACACTTGGGCTGCTTCCTTATCTTTGCAATTGTAGATAACACTGCAGTGAACGTAGGGGTGATTATGTTCTTTCAAATTACTGTTTTGGGTTCCTTCAGATATGTCCCCGGAAGTGGGATTGCTGGATCAAAAGGCAGGTCCATTTTTAATTTTTTGATATATCTCCATACTGCTTTCCACAGTGGCTCTACCAGTAAGTCTGCATTCCCAGCAACAGTGCAAAAGGGTTCCCCTTTCTCCGCATCCACGCCACAACTTTGTTGTTTGTTGATTTATTGATGATAGCCATTCTGATAGGTGTGAGGTGCTATCTCATTGTGGTTTTAATATATTTCTCTGATGAGTGACACTGACCATGTTTTCATATGTCTATTGACCATCCGCATGTCCTCTTTGGAGAATGTCTATTCAGATCCTTTGCCTTTTTTTTTAATTGGGTTGTTTAATTGGACAGATAACATAGATAAAAATGAAACTAGACTATGTTCTTACAACGCACACAAGAATAAATTCAAAATGGATCAAAGACTCAAATGTTAGACCCAAAACCATAAAAAATCCTATGAGAAAACATAGGCAGCCAAATCTCAGAAATGGCTTGTAGCAATTTTTTGTTGGAGATAGCTTTCCAGGCAAGGGAAACAGAAGAAAAAACAAACAAATAGGAGTACATCAAACTAATTAAAAAATTTTTGCACAGCAAAGGAAATCATCAATAAAATAAAAAGACAACCCACAGAGTGGAAGAACATATTTGCTGGGACATCTGATAAGGAGTTAATATCCAAAATTTACAAAGTACTTGACAAGCTCAACACCAAACAACCCAATTAAGAAATAAAATCTTTTTAAAAAATAGAATATATGAAATTAGAGTAAATTCAGTCTGTATCTACCCACAGTAGCTTCCAAAATTAATTTTGCTTCTTTTCCTTTTCCAGAATCTTCCTGCTGATATTAAAGAATCCATAACAGATATTATTAAGTTCATGCTGCAGAGAGAGTATGTGAAGGTACATTACCATGGTGTGCATTGAAATTATGGTTATGAGCATATCTAGGTTGTGTACATAATATGTTCATTTACTGTGGAAATGTTTATCATGGGGGAGATTTAAGAATAAAAATAAAATGAATTTTTTTTAAAAAACAAAACCTTTTATTTCCTTAATGTATTGCCACCTTAATTTTGGGCATTGAATATTAAACTTTCAGACCACACTGTATTTTTTTAGTCATTTTTAAGGCAGATGTAAAGATTCTTTAGATCATGTACAGATATGGGCAAGGTGCATTTCATGACTAGGATTGAGATTCAAAATTTGCAGATTGTTGGTTACAGCTTGGGATAAATTTTTCCACAGAAGCAATGTTGTGGAGATTTAAATACCTACTATTCATAATATAGCTGAACAGTGGTACTTAATTATACAGTGAAATTTGACCACCCTTTACACTTGTTTCTATGAGAATAAGTTCCATGTCAGCCTGCCAGCATCCATCTGTCCCACTTCAGGACCGCAGCCATGGCCGACCCCTGGTTGGGGGACCCTTTCCCCTTACTCCCTCCTGAATGGGCGCTGGGAGGAGGGGTCATGGGGAAAGAGCTCTGGTGTCCAAGCACTTGCTGGGGTAGAGTTTAGAAAGCGGAGAAGGGAGGGCTGTCAATTGGTGGAGCGGAAGAAGGAAAGAAGGGCCTAGTTAGTGCCCCAGGGGTGGAGATGGGAAATGGGACACTCCTTGGTGGGCCGTATGCTGAGGGGGAGGAGCGGGCCTTCCGGTGGCTGCGCCTCCCAGAGGGCAGCCGTGGAGAATTTCGGTGCAGCAGTTCAGGGGCAGCAGGTCCAGAACAGGAGGCAGGCTCTGACCGAAAGAGGGGGTGGCATTGCTTCTTCCGGGCTCAGCGTGTCTGTGCTCAGAGGGACTGCTGGCCCTCCTGGGTGCCTGGGTGGTCTCCTTCATCAGAGCCTCATGCTGATGAGGCTAAAGTAGTGTTTTTGCTCCCTCTATATGGGAGCCAGTTAATTTTGTCAAAGAAAATGCATCTGTTTTATGGCTATTAAGTGTATTCTTGGATAGTTTCTGTTAGTTGCATGCTGCTTACCAAGGACAGCATTGGAATGGATGGATAAGGCTACCGTCACTGCAAAAGAACTCAGGTCACTTGCCTTTCCTCTTGATACATTTTCCATCCTCATATATGACATCCAGGTCAAGGTTTATATTGTATAAACTGCACAGGGAACCAAGGAACTTTAATAACCTATTTGACAATTTTCTTTGGAAATTTAGGGAATCTAAATATTGGAGATTTCTTTGATTAATATCCAGTGTTAAAGTTTACACACATGGGGATCAGTGGTAAAAATGTGCATAAGCCCTGGCTGCTGTGGATCAGTGGATTGTGTGCCAGCCAGTCGTTCGTTCGATTGACCAGACACATGCCTGGGTTGCAGGCCAGGTCCCCAGTAGGGGGAGATTGAGAAGCAACCACACATTGATGTTTCTCTCTCTCTCTTTCTCCTTCTCTTCCCCTCTCTAAACCTAAAATTAATAAATCTTTTTAAATGTGTATACACTCTTTTAAAATTAAGCTTTAAAAAAATTGAATAGAGCAAATTCAAATCGATCGTTAGAGAAGAAATGATTTTTCAGTAAACTGATTTGTTAATACTTGGTTTTTAAAAGTCAGTTCTGCACATCAAGCATGTAGGTGTTTGATTTTTTAAACGAAAATCTCTTTGAGGCTGGCTATATAGGCTTCTCTGAAACACTCAAGGGCTTCTAGAATTTCCTTGCTATTTTGTTTTCCTTCCTCGCAAGTCACTAGACTTGTTTTAGGAAAAGAACCATGTGTCTTCATTGGTTTCTGTCTTTATGTTTCATAGCTTTTACAGTAATTTAGGGTTCTAGGCAGGTGGGAGTTTTGGGGGCCAAAGTGAACGGATCCCGTCCTTGAGCTGATTCAAGAGCCAGCATTTATTCTGTTTCCACCTCTGCATGGGCCCTCCATTCGTAGCCCCGGCGTGCGGAGCCCCCGCTGCTGCCAGAGGCCTGGCTGCTGTGCAGGGAGTGGACAGCGTTTCAGGTTGGATGGTGAGGAACTAGTCAGCTTCTGTCTTCTGCGTGACCACCTGTGGAGAAGGCTGGGTAGGAAGGGGAGCCAAACTAGAGCTTTCTGGCAGTGCATCAGATTCCCTGCCTGGTAACTCTAGGTCAAAACGCAGTCATATTCAGTGCACAAAGGTTGCAAACGGATGTTTGTCTTTCACTCACAAGGTGAGCTCTGGTTTCCGTTTCCCATGGACATTTGTGGTCCTGGGCAGGACAGTGAGTCATCCCATATTTTAACTTCTTTTGTTTGAATAAGGGGAATGGTAATGTTTTCAACATGCTTAAGAGAGGGCTGAAAATTACATCATAAAAAGCTGTGAAACATTTGAAATAAAAATTTGGACCAACACAATATTTCTGCTTTTCTGATCTCCTCTTAATCTTTCTTATTAGGCTAATGATGCTTATCTTCAGATGGCCATTGGAAATGCCCCTTGGCCCATTGGTGTCACCATGGTTGGTATCCATGCCAGAACTGGTAGAGAAAAGATTTTCTCCAAGCATGTTGCACATGTTTTAAATGATGAAACACAGAGGAAATATATTCAGGTAAGCATTTGGGAGGGAAAGACATTTCTCTGGACGTTAATGTTCTCCTGTTCCAAAACTGTGTATTTTGAGAGCAAAAGGACGATAGCAAATAGGACATACCATGATCAGATATAAGTCCAGTCCTTTAAGACATCTTCACTCACTAAAATAAATTTTTTTTTTTTTTAAGTTTTATGTGTCAGTGGTTCCCAACATCTTTGGCACCAGGGATGGATTTTGTGGAAGACTGTTGTTCCACAGTGTGGTTGGGGAGGATATGAAGGGAGGAAGAGACAGGAGGTGGAGCTCAGGCTGTAATGCAATGGAAGCTTAGCTGGCTGGCCTGCTGCTCACAGCCTGCTGTGCGGCTACTTCCTAACAGGCTATGGGCCATTACCAGCCTGGGGGTTGGGGACCCCTTCCGAATGCAAGCCAGGTTGAAGGGTTATGCTTTAATTACCTTGGTGTTAAAATAAGACTATCACAGTTTCCTTTGGGAGTTTATTGAAGAGCAGCAAATTTTGAATAATTTGCAGTAAATCTTGTTTTGTTGCTTTTAAAGTAGATCTAATATCTACTAGGATAAAAGGTATAAATAGTAAAAATTTGGCTTTTATGAACATGATTTTTTAAATTTAAATAATTTTGAAAACAATTTTTTTCCACCACCATTTATCCCCCGCTGCCATGACCACATTGTTGTCCTTGTCCATCATTTTTTTTTTTGCTCAATCCCTTTACCTGCCACCCCCACCAGCATCAGCCCAGAGCTGTCAACCTGTTCTCTGAGTCTGTCTCTATTTTGCGTATTAGTTCAGTTTGAACATAATTTCTAAGTACCTTGTAACAATGCTTCTGTACATGAATAGCTCTAAAGTGTTTATGTTTAGAGTTTATTTTTTTAGTTGTATATATATCACATGAAATCATGTGGACTGTTCCTGTTAAATTTTTCTTCTTACTGGGAAAAATCAACTCTATTCTTAGCTTTTGCCAAACTGTCAAGAATTTCAGGTTGTATCTGTATAATGACTTTGCTGGATGTTAATTCTAAAGGTAGAAGATGATATTCTGAAAGTTTACTTAAAATTTAAAATTTATTTAAAATGCATAAAGTGCCTTCAGATTTTCTGCCACAAGAACAACCATTAGTATAATCATGAATTATCTTTTGGTTTGTATGTCATTTCCAAGCGATAAATGTTCATTTGTGTTATGCTTTATTCACATATATTGGCATTTTAAAAAATGATCTCACCTTCATTTCATGATATGAAAAACTGTAGCATTTATAGAGTTCAAATATACTTATGGAAATTTAAGGATATTCCCGTTTTTTTTAAATTACCACCAGTGACTCTATTGAAGGCAAAAAGCTTTTAGTTGCGGGGGGCAATGGGGGATGGGGGGGAAGATGTTTGGCTTTAACAATAGAAAACAATTTCCAATGATTAAATTTGCTTAGTGTGTTTGGCTATGCCTTAGTCAAAGCTATAGTGTGTATAAGAGTCATGTAATTAGATAAAATGTCTGAATTAAAGAGCACTTCTTTTTAAATAATGAAACCTCTCCATTAACTGATTTTTTAAAAAATATACGCCTAGTACTTACTTTTAAAGCTTTCTGGTTTACATTGGAAGCTGCGTAGTCACCTATCTCTCCTCAGTAGTTCATCCCTTTTAACTGTTACCTTCTTATTTAAAAAAAAATTCTTTTTTATTCCACCAAGATGATTAGGAAAAAATTGTCTGAACCTTCTATGACTGAACTTTGGGAAGGTGTTTGCTCCAAACCCAATCTTATTTTTGTGGACAGATGGAGGCGTAACAGTACAATCAGGTGACTCCTGGCTTGTGAGTGAGGGAAGCCATGGGGCGCTGAGAGTGAATCCGTATCTACTGTGGTGCGTGCTGGTGACGTACACCCTGGGCTCTTAGAGACCGCAGTGCTGCCCTGCTGAACATTTTAATGACCGATTCAGATGATTTTACAGAGAGGTATATTGCTCAGACTTATACAACAAGACTAGAAGGGATAGGGTGTGAATTAAGGTAGAAAAGAGACTGGTATTACGGAAGTTCTTGACAGCCAGCAGAAAGGACAGAATCTTTTTTTTTTCCTATAGGTTTTATTCCTTTATTTTTAGAGAGAGGGCAACAGAGAGAGAACGTGAGGAAGAGAAACATCCTTGTGAGAGAGAAACATCGCTTGGTAACCTCTCACATGTGCCCCTACCAGGAACAAAACCTACAACCCAGACATGTGCCCTGACTGTGAATCAAATCTACAACCTTTCACTTTGTCTGGTGATGCTCAACCAACTAAGCCTGGCCAGTCAGGGGAAGGACAGATTCTTAAAAGATAACATTTAGCTAGGATGACCATGAAGAAATTTGGATCCGATAACCTAGTTGCTTGAGCATACATCTGAGCAATGTATAAGAGAAAAAAAAAAATACAAGCATACTGTGTACTGTAAGGGTGATAAAATTATAGTACTATGTCGTGGTCACTGGAAAGTCAAATGATAGCTTATATTATTAGACATGATAATTTTGTGTTGGTTTCACAAGGCAAGTTCACTGTTAGACCCCTAACATCCAGGATGTACTATACTTACAGTGGGTGCTCAATATTTGCTGATCAAATTGAATGAATACTCTATAGGACAGGAGAGTCCTTGAGAAAGGAAACTTTATGGAGATGTGGGCAAGAGAGGTATAGGTAATGGAAGAGCTTTTTGGTGGAAGAGAGATTAAACTTGTCGCATGTGGCCATGGGCTGATCCAGGTACAGGAAGACAGACTTCTAATCAGTGTAAGGAGATGCTTTTTAAAAAAACATTTTGTTTTGAAATAAATATAAACTCACAAAGGTTGCAAAAATAGTACAAAGAAGTTTTGGACCGTGCAGAATTACCTGAAATGGGTATAGGGCCGCTTTGGAAGAGATCGGGGAGGAGATGCTTGGTATTTGCAAGCATTGAGTTACCTATTGCCCTTTCTGGTCCTTCTGGCCTTTTGATTGCTCTGGTTCTTTTCTGCCATTTTCATAGAGGCCATTGCTTAAACCTAAAGTTGTAAACTTGCATGCCCTGCACAGTAAGGTAACAAGTGAGTGATTGTTAAGGAACACCCTACCCCTGTCTTTTGTTTTCCTAATTTTCACGTAGGCATGCACTAATAGCAATATTTTATTTCTGCTCAACGCGACAACTGTCCAAAAAGTAGGCCTTGCAAGCACAGTGTGAAGTGTCAGTGAATGCTTAGGCTCAGTGTTGTTGGAGTTATAGTAGCTCATTCTTACTTTATAGTAATATGGTTCCAATGTTGCGCCATCACCTTCCATTATTTATTTATTTATTTGGTATGAGCGGCCAAATTCTTTATTTCTTTTAAATGCGGACACTCCTACTGTTAAAATACGAGCATCAAATATTAAAATATTAACATTGTTTACAGCCAAATAAAATCCCAATTTGTCAACTGTGTCATTAAAACCATAGTGCAGCTCAAGGCAAAAGAATGCTGCCACCCCAATGTGAGAGTTTTATGAAATTCTGAGTTACATTTAACTGAGTAATTTTCTAAGCTTTCCTGTGAATCTCCTTGTTAGTTTGATATTTAGGTGAGGTTGATTTGAATTATCCTACAAAAAGGAACAGATATTATTTGAAGTTTAAGTCTGGTGTTGGCAAACCTTTTGTTAAAGGCTCATAGGCCTCTGTTGCAACTACTCACCCCTGCAGCTGTAGTGCGGATGCTGCCTGCAGCTGTTCCAGTAAAACCTCATTTAGAGAAGAGGCTGGTGGCCCGTGGCCATAGTTTGCTGACCCCTGGTAAATACATAAACCCAGACCTTTTCTGTGTTAAGGTATTTGCTGTGGAGGTAATTGCAAGTCATTTAATGGGGTAATTGTTTCTTTTAAAATTGACATAGAACATACCAACAGACAGTGGAGTGTGTCAAGTGTACTAATCTTAACTGTAGAGCTCAATGGTAGAGAGAGAGGGAGAGAAAGATCAATTGGTTGCCTCTTGCACACACCCCGAAAGGAACAGAACCCGCAATCTAGGCATGTGCCCTGACCAGGAATCGAAACTGACCTTTTGGTTTACAGGACAGCACTCCAACCAGCTGAGCCACCTGAGCTGGCCAGGATACAATGATCCCTGGTATTTGTAACATGTATCAAGATGTAAAACAAGATTTAGATATAGAACATCCCTAGCAGTACTCCAGAAGTCTTCTTGATGCCTTTTCCCAGCCTCAATCCTCCTTGTCAGAAGAGGTAACCACTATTCTGATTTGTGTCATTATTAGTTATTTTTATCTGTCCTTGGACACCATTTTAGTGGAATCTTACAATGTATGGAGTGATTGTTTCTTTTATTTAGAAATACTGGTGAGAGATATCTGTTTTATGAGATATGTTAGAAGACCATTCAAGTGGTTATTTTACTCTAATACTATTTCATCTTTCGGTTTTATGCAAACCTCTAGAGAATTTAAACTGTGGAAGTCGTTTGAAGTGTCCCCTTCCTCACAAAAATTAAACACACCACAGAGAGGATGGTCACACTGTGCAAATCAAAGAAAGGTTGTGTAGCTTATTAAGTGGCTCAGATCTCAGGGTGAGCCTTAAATTTGGCTGCTGTAGTTCAGTGGATTGAGCACTGGCCTGTGACCCAGAATGGTGCTGGTTCAATTCCTGGTGAGGGCACATGCCTGGGTTGCAGGCCAGGTGTCACCGGTTAGGAGCGTACAAGGGTCAACCTAGCGATGTATCTCTCACACATCTATGTTTCTCTCCCTCCCTTCCCCTCTCTCTAAAATTAATCATCATCCTCTAAAGGTGAGATTTAAATTGATGGTAGTAAGTTCAAAGACTTTGTTCTGCTAAATACAGATGTAGCTTTTGGCCTAGGTTCGGGTATAAAGCTGCTTTTATACAGATTATAGGAAGCTCTTGATTATTTAGTGACTTTATAATTCAATCATGTCAAGACCTGTCTTGG